TCAGCGCTGCTGGTGCAGACCCGCAGTCTGGTGCGGACTCGACTGGCCACAAGAATGTGTCTGACAGTCAGAGCGTTGAGCACCAAAATCAACACGAATGGGAGCAAAGGGACCAACATCTGCTCAAACCAATAAAATGCGATCCATGCGGGCTGATAGCGAATCTTTGCTTTGAAAAGGCAGCCCCAGGGCAAATGATGAATTCTGGCGTAAGGTTGGAATATAAAATACAAGGGAATATTTTCCAAGCAGAGCAACGCAATTAAAGTTCCTACAACCATAGACGCTGTTCTCTCTGTGCAGTATTTTTGCTTCAGTTTCTGACAACAAATGGCCACAAAGCGATCAAAGGTGAAAGCCACCGTTAGCCACACAGCAGAGTCCACGGCGGCTGCAGAAATGACATGAATGAAGCTACAGACAGGTGTGTAGAACAAATATGAGGTAAGTAAATAAATATCACCGATTTGTTTCAGGATTACTTCAGAGACAATGACTGACAGATCCGCCACTGCCATGGCCACCAGGTAGCGGGTGATACATGTGGACAGTCCACACTTTCCTCGGGACAGGATCACAATCGCCAGTAAATTAACTGTAAGAGAAACACAACAGGTAAGTTAGTTGGAAACTGACCTGTCAAGTAAAATACTGACGATTCGGTTTGTAAAAATATCGGCGAAACAAGAATAAAGTGAAATTAAACGGTATTAGTGTGTTCTAATGAGGAGGTATTCATAACAGAATTAAGCCGTTAAAAATAGAACTTCAGGTTTGTTAAAGTTTAATTTCGTATATTACTGTGCAGAAAAAGGAGAGACGTTCAAGGAATGCCATAGCTAAATCAGTGAGAAAGAGCCAATGGCGAGAGGGGGAATTTGAGCAGCATTACATAGATATTTGGGGAGGACACATTTACTGCACTATGGGGAGAGATCGAAAGTGTTGGGCAAATGGAATAAAGAAACTTGCCGATCGCTTAGGTTTGCTGGGAATCAACAAAGTTCTGTCGCTTGCGAGGGGAGTGCTCTAAACCCTGAGCTACAAAAATCCACTGGTAATTACCAACAATGATTAAACTGACCAGAAATTCCAACTGCTGCAAGAACAGGATAATAAATAACTTGTATTTTCAAAACTTTCGATCTTCGTGGCATCTTTCACAGCAGCGACACCTTTTGCGAAGATGGAGCAACGGCTTCTCTAACATTGACCTAATGCTGTCACCTATTTGTAGCGTTTCGGAAACTCCATGGTGGTTGTGAGATGATGTGATCATCGCATTATTATTAGATGGTGGAACAAACAACTTCATACACGTCAGCAATATGTTTCAGGTATCATTTTCCTGCATTTATATCATTGTGTATCTCAAAATCCATTGTGCAGCAAAATTTTAATAAGGACAGTTGGATTCAATATATTAGATTAGCAAATGCGGTTATATGTGTCCTCCATATTTAATTATTTTTGTGCATGCGACGGATGTTGCACAATACATGAGGGATAGCTGCTCTCGTAGATTGATATCATAGGTCACTATTTGGAGACAGAGAGGGTGAAGGGCAGGGAATAAAGAGGGAGACCGAAGGCTCGGTCTGAGAGGAAGGTCTTGAAACGCATCTTGAAGGTGGTAAGAAGGGAGCGTGGCGAAGGGAATGCGGGATAGAGTTACATAGGGTGGGAGCAGAAAGGCTGAATTCTCGACGGCTAATGATGGGGAGGGTCGGTCGGTGGAATGTGGAACAGGCCAGAGTTTGCTGAGCAGATGGAGGGAACCGGTTGTTGTGGGGTATGGAGGTCAGAGATAGGGATATGTAAGGTCGTGGAGTTATTTAAGGCCTATGTCCGAAACATTGTCGTTTGTGTTTTCAAGCTCCTGTGTTTAATGGAGATCACAAAATGCTCCCCATTTCGCTCTTCTTGTGACTAACTTACAAACTAGGCCCAAAGTCAGAGAGTATCCAATGGTTCATATAATTTCTCTTAGTCCTTTCTTTCAAAATCCCTCATATACTTTCCTATATGAGGTCCCTTATCAACCTTCTTTTTGCCAAATAAAATAGAGCCAACTTGTTCCACATTTCTTCAATACCAAAGAGACTCATCCATCTTTTCATTCTTGTGCAGCTTCCTGGCAACTCTCAAAAGCTTTATTTTGTTTCCTGAAAAGTTATGGCCGAAACTGAATGCAGAACTCCAGCTGAGCCTGAAGGAATGATCTTTAAATGCCGGAATTGTTTCTTTGGTTTCATACTTTTGGCTCCTTTGTGAATAAGTAAAAATAATAACAATATCAGCTTGGAGTTAAAAATCACCCTTCATGCAGGGAGAGCCTTAGACTGCTTGACTCTAATTTGAGGATAATGAATGTAGACGCAATCAAAGTCAATGCAAACATTGTGGATGCGCTGTACACCCCACGGAGCCAAGACGGAAACTTATTGTCCTGCTCGACCACCAACATTGCTTCATACTGCACATCGGTGCCATGACACACTCTGCTTCCCGTACCTGAGTATCATTGCCTTGCCCGGCTACACCATTATTCTCACCACAGGTCCACCGAGATCCTCATCCACACGTTCATCACATCCAGGCTTGACGGCCAAACTGCATGTTTTTGGACCTCCCCATCTCCTCCCTCCACGGGCTGCAGATCATCAAGTACTCCAGCCCAACAACAGGCTCCAAGACCCGTCCGCCCCAAAAATCTCCTCTGTAGATTTCCCACTCTCAACAAATTCCTTCACCAGTTTCACGATGTTAAAGCTTCACTCTGTTCACAACTTAACTCCATTGGGGTCTCTGCTGGAGATTTTCTACGCGTTTTTCAATCCATGCTTATCTCCCCCATGATTCCGCGTGCGCTGATTTTAGTCATAGAATTCTTGCATAATAGTCAAGTGAGTCAATACGTTTCTTGAATAATACCGCTACACCGCAACAGATGCTTACCTCCCCTTTTAAATTAGTTACTTGCTGCATTCCTATTACCAAGTTGGTTTAATTGTTTCAAAATAAAGACAGTATGAGAAACAGACAACATTCTACTAAAATTTGGGCTCGTCCGGGATTTGAACCCGGGACCTCTCGCATATTTATTTAATTGCTAACCCCTAAGCGAGAATCATACCCCTAGACCAACGAGCCACATGTGCACCAATTATCTGAAATATCAACAGGAGAACTTGGCATTTCGAAACTGAATGGAACTTTGTTGGTTTGCTGAACATTCAGCAAAAATCATCGTGATCTTCAAATCGAATCGTCAACAAAAATTATAAAGCAATGCTCGTTAATTGCTGATTCAATGTGCCAGCGAGGCCACGGACTGTAGTAAATCAACTCACAAACCATTTATCAATAAATATTTTCTTTGCATACTGACAAAGTGACGGTTAGTTTTCTGGCGAGTTTGATGACCAATGCAATATAATACTATCATTGCAGCTCAATTTACAGGACTGTCAATTTGCCTGCGATTCGACATCCTCCTGCGTTAACGTACAATGTCTCTTTAACAGGATTTTTTTTTACTTGAAGCCAAAGTTGATGAAATTCAACACCAAGTGCATCATTTATCTAATATTTATTTCCATTTCCTACGGCGCGGCTTCTAGAAGCGTTTATTGAGGTTTGGTAAAACACCGGAATAACCGAGGTTGAATCCGAACCAAAAAGTCATTACTCCGTGACCTGACCTGTTGTCCACTGATGCAACTCGCTTTACTAAACCATTGAAAAATACTGCTCTCGGTGAGAGTCGAACTGCAACCTCGTCAGGAAGTAGTGTCATATAAGTACCGCGCTCTGACCTATTGCGCCACCGGAGCTGCTTTAGTATACTTTTTAGTTGATCATTTCTGTTTTGTTTCAAAAAATGGCAACAATAAATTCCAATTATGTAGAGTGTTTCATTTGAGATAAATACGAGTTTCAATTTCTTCTACACGACAATTCTGTTCATTTTGAAGAATGTTACACAGCTCAGACCCTACCTTCCACCCTTCCCAATCCCGATCCCCAGCTCAGATCCGAAGCACATGCAGTCCTGTTGTGTGTGACGGCGCCTTGAATTTTATTGCTGTGATTGTGGTTGGTTCCGTGGGCCAAAGAAATCGTGAGCAGAAGCTTTGCTGCCAATTTTTATTTTCAGTAACGAAAATTAACTCCGTATCCAGTGACAAAGATTTAGTTTTTTCTTGTGAAGAAGAAAACAATAACAATTTGCATTGACATAGCCTCCCTCACGTAGGACAGCGTCCATGAAGACAGATAAAACCGAGTACAAAGCAGCCCTTCGAGTACAGTGACTACATTAGTTTAAAAAGTATGATTTCTTGGAGTTATAATGTTTCAGTATTGATTGAACAATTCGCTTCTGTGTGAAATAATACCAGTGTGAAAAAATGACGAAATGACGTTGGCAATAGATTCTGTGCTTCTCACAGAATCAAGTTATTTTTTTCTCTCCCTGACTTCCAAATGAACTTGAATTGCATTGGAAATTGATCCGAATCCTGATAACCAAACCAACATGGATTAAGGCAGGACAGTGAATCGATTCATGTCATGCAATTCCTTCTACCTGCATTTTAGATTCCTCTGTTTATATATTCTGTGACTGGTCACACTCACTTTCACAAAACAAAGGTAAATATTGCAGGGCACTAGCAAAGCAACCAATTCATTGATAATCACAAACTATTGTTGCTCTGAATTTCTGAGCATCCAGTGAAAGGTCCGATATGTTATCACGAGTCTGGATTAGCCCTTTTGGATTACAATGTTGCAATTGATTTAAGAATTGAATTCACATTCAAAGAAACATTCGCTCTCAAAATGCACAGTCAAATCACTCTAAAGGAAACCCCTGGAATCTTTTTCATCCTTTTTGCCGAAGGGGAAAATAATACTTCTAAAGCAATTGTTATTATTGATAACTGTTACATGACATTTTGATTCCCTGAAGTAAAAATGACAGCTCGGTTATCTACGGCGCTGTGGCTTAGTCGGTGAAAGCACCTGTCTTATAAACAGGAGATCCTGGGTTCAAATCCCAGTGGTGCATCTTCTGTTGAATTTTTTGAAACACTTAGTCAACAATTCCGTAAAGTGATTTCGGCAGTTTCTTAATCTTCAAGGAGTTTTGCTCTTGCAATTGTTGGCGTTGGAAAGCAGCTTTCATTCCACTGCAGTGTGCAAGTTTGCTGGATTGGCTAAGTTAACAACGAGAAGTTAAGCCGAGGCTACAGCTGACTAGTCAGGTCGACATTTGTGCTGTTGGTGGAATATTGTTGTGCGAAAATTTATTGTCCCATTCTCGCACAAAACACATTCACGGCACATTTCAATATATACTGTAAGGTGCTCGGACGTTCTTGGTCTATACCAATTCAATGGTTAATTATTTGTGTGACTGGTGAGCAAGCTGAAAGTTTACTCATCTCAGTGAGGATGAAGACTTACAATTGATGAAAATTATTTACTCGCCATGAATGACAAAATGTACAAAAAATTGCCGAAACTCGGGATTGAACCAGGGACCTTTAGATCAATAGTCTAACGCTCTCACAACTGTGCTCTTTCGGCTGTCAGTTATTATTCTACTGTAGTGTTCAAGGTACCTTCTGACCAGATCACCATAAACCGAGACAGGAAGGGGGGAATCAAAGAATTAGCGGAGAATGGTCATCCCACTGACATATATTTGTCGACGATCAGATCTTGGAATTTGAGGACTTTAATGTAGAGGGAGCAGTATTTTGCAGGGACAAACAGTTTGCTTGATGAAGGTGAGAGAGGTGGAGTGAAAGAAGGACAGTGCGACGTTTCTTCCCAATTGTTGTAACGCAAGGGCATCGGAGCGGAAATGGGTGTGAAGGCAGTCAGGGCGGCAGCTGTAGGACAACTGTCAGCGCGTACCACCATGAACCTGGCGGAGAATTCACACGATGGGACAGAGTGAGACGCTGAGACGGTCCAGGAGTGAAAGGACGCACTGAGTGAGGAGAACATTGTTGACAGGAACAGGAATGGGTGCATTTGGGGTATAAGGTAACCATGCGGATCATTGGATGCAAACGAGTTGAGCAGTGTGATAGGGTTAACCCTGACACATGGAGAAGAATCCAGTCGCCAATTCTGAAATCTTTTCCTCATTCCCTCCGCTGTGCCGCTTCCATTTTCAAATCATACCTGAAAATCTTCCTTTTTGATCTTACTATTGGTCACCTCCCCTCCTCCCTCTTCACTCTTTGGTGGCCAGACTCCACCACTGCCAAGCATACTGGAGTGCTAACCCGCGTGATGTGTGTGAAATAGATGCAGGTTGCTTTTGTATAAACCAAGCTACAGATATTTTGTATCTGAGAAATAATCCACCACTTCAAATCATGAAAAATTCCATATTTGGTATCGTGGTTTGCGACGCTCCTGGCAAAAATGGAAACTGATTTTGGGGATAAAACAAGTTTGGCCTGTTTCCATGTCAAGAAGTCACTGTCTCTGTTACAAGAAACCGATTGTCGATTTCGTTCCCAATGGTTTCCCAGGCTTCTGTGTGGATTCCAATGGGTTTCGGATCCCCTTTAGCTGTGTGAAATGGTTTGACACGTCCGTGTGAGCTACTTTAATACACAACTGTTGTTCATGTCGCTTATAACTGGAAAGTCCGCATTTATTTATGCACAAATGCATAAATAAGTGAAGGAGGCATTTGGCTGTATTTAACTCTGAGATGCAACCGACCACCAGTAGGATTCTGATGATTAAAAACTTGGACCTACAAGAGAGAGAATATCATCAGGCGAAGGATGAACCTGGTCAGCAAAAGTTTTATTATGTCTATACATTCATTGACAGGAGATTTATGCCGATACTTTAGCATCACTTTGCAGTGTTCAAGCTGCTGTTTTTGGGAGGTACTTCAATTTTCGAATCATTAGCTTCGCAACGATAGGTCTTTGTTTCAAATCCAGACGTCCAATTTTGTTGGGAATATTTTGCAAATGAAAGCTTTTGTCAATGTGGTCAAAGATTGATATGACAAACTTATGACTCAAGAAGCCAATTTCTCGACGTTCACAAACGATATAAACAAGTGCATCTAATAAACCAGTCCTGCAGCCATAAGGTGGGGCTAAACACCGACGGAGAAGTTAACAGTGCAAAGCACCCAGAATATTTGTGTTATAAGTAACGACCTCTAGCTTATTGGTCATACAGCAAGACATATGACAGAGAGAACACGAATGACTGATTTAGAATGTGCTACCTTAATAAGAACAAATCTCTGCAGACTTGTTGTTCACAGTGGCGCAAATTACTCATTACCCGCAACGTTCAGCAGAAGAATCATGAAGCACAGATTTTCTGCATTAAGAGCCTGAGTGCCTCAGTGGTTAGAGCTACCAGGTTTTTAATCTCATGGTCATGACACAATGTTTCGATTAGTTTTATTTTCCAGTTATTCGTTTCATTTTGATTGAAAGTTCACGGGGATCGTTTGCTTAATTATCAAACTTGAGCAATGACGTTCAGTCTGGAACATATAGTCATGTTTGTCTCGCACGAGCAAAGTCCAAGATTCAAAGTGTCCACTAAATTCAATTAGCGCCAGTTTTTTGACCAAATTGTTGCTGTCGACCTCACATTGATGGTTAATGAAGAGGGCTAATCTTCAATCCCAACAAGCTTTCTGTAAATAAAGAAAATCAAATGTAATATAATCTAATTATTTCAACATTACACGTTGAAATTCTGTCTGATATCGCTTCTGGTTTTCAATCAGAAAAAGACTTCGGAGGGCCTCCTGTCGTGTAGGGCACTCCATACATGTACAATCTTTACGAAATTCAAAACTGTGAGTTATGTGGGGATGTAGCTCAGAGGTAGAGCGCATGCTTCGCATGTATGAGGTCCCGGGTTCAATCCCCGGCGTCTCCACGTATGGTGTTAGAAACTTATGCTGGAATGTCGCTTTTCGAAATTTTCGTCACCGTTTATAATTTCACACTGATATTGTGTTCCTCCACAGAACATTGTGATCCAAAGCAGAGTAGATTATGGATCAAAACAAATAAAATTCCATAACAAAGATACCAGGAGGGAAAATGTTCTCTTTGTTGAAGAATTCAATGTAAAACAAAGTTCACGTGTAACGTAAGTCCGGGAAATTGCCATTAGTTAAAGCAATAGTTTCCGGGAATCGAATTGGGACTATGGCGGTTAAAGCACCTAATGTTCACCAATTCAACATCAAGAAACATCAAGGAACATGTGTCTGAAGCACCTTGCACTTCCTGTGGAAGTCCCAATGAGGATGTCGGGGGTTATGGCCAAAGCGTCGATCGACGGGAACGGTTTCGAGACGGATCTTGACGGAGACAAGGGAGGGGGTAAGATAAAGGTTATGTGGAGCGGATTTCCACAGCGTGGGAGCAGAAAGGCTGAAGATCCGGCCGCCAAAGTTTAAGCGGAGGATATCGTGCAGTTCAAGAACAGGTTGGTATGGGATGATCAGTTCACAGATGTTGGGCGGGGCAAAGCCGGAGAGACTTGAAGGCATGGTCGAGAAATTTGAACTCTATCCACTGCGGGATGGCGAGCTATAATTCACGTCACTGTATATTCTCTGAAGAGACTTGAGACGCCTTAATTTAGTCAATAGGCGCTATATCAAATATATCAAATGCAATGATTTTTTTCCGCTGTTATTGATGTCTTTATTGTATAACACTGTCAGTTTCCCGGGTGGTAAACGCAACACAAATGCTCATAGTTGTCAGCTGCATTGATGAATCGACGGTTTCCTCACTGCATCTCCAATATGGACACTTAATTATACTAATTTGACGATTACTCAACAATTTATTTTAATATAATATTTTTAGTATATTATAAATTATAATATTATAACAAATTGTAATATGTTTGATAACTTCATATAGATCTGTTCCGAAACTATGTCCAGCAACTTGAGACCTCGTGCCGACGTGAAACGCACAATACAAATTTATTGTTGTTGTTGTTGTTAATGATACAGGCGTTGTTCTGCTTTCCTTTTCCTCTCTACGGCCCAGAGTGTTGTGTGAGTGAAGAGTTGGACTTCGTGGCGCAACGGTAGCGCGTCTGACTCCAGATCAGAAGGTTCAAATCATGTCGATGTTAATGTTTTGATTCACAGTCTCATGAAAACCAATGAAAGTGGACAATCTTATCTACTCATTTTAAAGTTTTAACAACGGAGAGTAGCATCTTACCTGTTTAAATTTCTGTTTGTGGAGTCCTGTGGCTCACTGGTTTGAGCACTCGCTTTGCAAGCGAAACGTCTGGGGTTCAATTCCACACGCCTAATAATAATACCTTCAAAGCAAAACAAAACTAAGTTGGTCATTTTCAATCCAAGACTGTTTGTGGGACACTGCTGTGTGCAATTGGCTGCCGCGTTTCATCCACAAGTATGCAGTTAATTCACTTTACAGTCTATTCTGTGAGGCGAATTGAGACGTCGAGTAGACTTCAAAAAGCGCTGTATCAAATTCAAGGATTATTATTATTAAAGCAAAAGGGTGCAGTTATTTTAAAAAGACTTTTTACTATCCACATTTATACTTCTATCTTGTTGTGAATGGTAAAGTGAGCTGATCTGTAATCAATCCCAGCATTTCTCTTTACCTTCCAGAATCATGCGCTCATGTTATTTGGAGATGTTGCTGAGCCTTACGAGAAATCAGCAATAAACAACACACGAATTGTCGAAACTATGTCCATAAGTTTTACGATCATCCTGCACTCCCTGATCTACTTATCTACAATAATCATAATTGTCGTTGCGTTTGATATAGCGCTTCTCACCTCTTCTGGATGTCTCAAAGAGCTTCACAGAATATAACGTAAAGTGTATTGACTGTGGCTTTGCGGTCAAAACGCGGCAACCAATTGCATACAGCTGTGTCCCAGTCATTGATTGAGAGAAAACACTTCATCATTTATTTATTTGAGTTAAGATACTAAAATATGTTAAATTTACATTATTATGAAGGATCCCGTTCAGTGGGGGAAAATGCATT